TCGTTACCTCTCGCATGCCATTGGTCCAATAGATTAAGATTTTGAATGGTGGTAAAGGACAAGACAACAGTTTGTGGAGGGGGAGTGTTCAGTTTGACATTATGACAATACTAATCCTTTGTTCATAAAATTTTTTGTAGCCAACACATTGTTTATCCCAGGGGCGGATCTAGAGAAGAAGAGTGTGTGGCATGTGCCCCACACTAATTTTTTTATTTTTATAAATAATTATAGAAAAAATGATTTAAATGCATATATAGTCATGGTAAATTGCATTTTGTGCCCCATACTAAATAAGTTTTTAGATCCGTCACTACTTTATCCACCACTTTAGATTAAAACTTATAAATGATGAACCAAAAACAAACTAATCCGCATTAGACATGCATCAGATTCAGAAGAGAATAATTTATTTTTAAGAAGTTTGAAAAAAAAGTTTTTTAAACATGTTAATATAGAAAAATCAAACAAAAAAAAATCTACAAAAACCGGATTCAACTCAAAATACATGGACCGGGCCCAAATAATATCGAATTAGATAATACCGGGCCTAATTAAAAATTGGACCGGGGGTTATTTTCTTTTTACTCAAATAATTGTAGGTGCTGACGTGTCGTCACCCTTTAATATGACAATGACAATACTACCCTCTCGGTCGGTCCCGTCTTGTTTATATAATAACAGAATAATCAAGTTTTGTTTTTCTGCATCACTCCTTTTTTTCGAATCTCGACGGCAGAAACAGAGAGGAAAGTTTATCTAAACCCTATCTCCGGCGAGAGAAGAGAGAGTTAATTCCGGCGAAGAGATGGCCGACTTCGAAGATCACGAGGGAAACGGTACGGCAGTTGAAGGATTCTACGCCGAAGATAACGGTGGTCCCGGCGGAGAAATCGAGGATCAGATAAACTCGAAATCTAAGGTACCTTTGCTCTTTGATTATGTACAATCTTCCAGATTCTGATTTCTCAAATCTGTGTGTTCTTAGCTTCGATTAGTGATTGGATTCAATTTGGAATCGATTGAATTTTTGGTGTAGAGGTGGAATCATTGAGCTGGTTAGGTTTAGGGTTTATAATTGTTGATTTTGCAGCTTGGGGATTGATCTAGGGTTTTAGTTTTGTTTCATTGATTCTTAAACTGTTTAATGACTGAGTTTTTTCGGTTTATGCTTGTGTAGAGAGAAACGCGTGACAATGAAAGAGAGACTTCTAGAAGTAAAGATAGGGAAAGAGAGAAGGGTCGTGATAAGGATAGAGAAAAGGATTCTGATCGAAGCAAAGACAGAGATGTAGAGAAAAGCAAGGAGAGAAGTAGAGAAAAAGATCGTGAGCGTCATCACAGAAGTAGTCGACACAGAGATCATAGTAGGGACCGCAGTGACAGAAGGGAACGTGGTAGTAGAGATGATGATGACTATCGCAGAAGCCGCGATCGTGACCATGATAGGTAACTGTTCTTGAAACGATTGAATCCTTTCCATTATTGTTTGTTTTACGGAAGTTACTGATTTGGCTGTTTTGTTTCTCTTTAGGCGTAGAGATGATAGAGGGATTATTGTTGTTTTACGGAAGGTACTGATTTGGCTGTTTTGTTTCCCTTTTAGGCGTAGAGATGATAGAGGAGATAGGCGCCGTCGGCGCTCACGTTCTCGATCAAAAGATAGGTCTGAGCGCAGATCAAGATCTCGATCTCCATCGAGAAGGTATCAATTTTTTACCCTTCTATAAAATTATTGTTTCAATCTACGAAATTTTGTTCTTATATTAATCTATATTCTTGCAGTAAGCGTAAGAGTGGATTTGACATGGCACCTCCAGCCTCTGCGATGTTAGCTGGTGCTGCTGCTGTTACAGGTATTCTTATTATCTCTTTAACTTATCACCTTCTCATTAGCATAATGTAGAGTTAATACCTAATGCACGTAGCGGTTTTGATGAATTCTGTTTCTCTCGAATACACACTAAAAACGTTAGATTGTTTTTGTTCATCTTATACATGGGATATAACACTAGAACTG